CTTCCCCCCCCCCCCCCGGCGCCCGGCAGGCCGCGGCTTGCTCGTCGGCGCGGCCTAACGGCCGCGCCCTTGATTCCGCAGCGCCGGCGGCCAAGCTGCCGGCGGCCACAATCTTCCACCGAAGAAGAGAAAAAACGAGGGAGAGAAAAAAAAACTTTCCAGAATTTTTTTTTTTAATTAAATTTTTTACCAAATTTCCTTAATTCTCAAATTTTCGAGATAATCAATTTTGTGAACAATAAATAATTCCGAAAACTATTCAACTCAAAATCAATCACCAAAAATTCATGATTATCTATATACATACTTTTCTTAACAAAATAAAGCATATATAAAATTTCATAAACAAAAAAAAATCATATGAATCAATCAACATAATATTCAGCTAGAGATATTAGAGATAAAAATTCTCTCAATAATTTAATGTGATGATCACTCTGATACCACTTGTTAGATCTTTCAATCCTAGTTTCACATTTCATGAATCATCACACCAAATTACTAAGAAAATAAGTTAGAACTCTGACCTGTCTCCATTGATGCAGCCTTGAATCTCCAGTAATGTTCTTTGAGATTATGAGTACGACGGTTATTGCATTCCTCAGTCAAATCTCCTCAGTTGCTTAATGGGGTGTTTTCTCTTTAGATTGAGAAGAATGAAAGCTGCCATATGATTTGACGTATTATGGACCATAATCTAAGTTTCTTTATATACTGTCCCATTAGACTCTCATTAAACCTAATTGAGTCAATATAAGTATCCACTCATTCAACCTATACCCTATTAAGAAACTAATTGAACTTTTCATAATTAAATCACTTAAATTAACCTAAATAATTAAATAACTTAATATAATTATTAAATAAATATGTGGCCCACTAGAAAACTCACGTTTCGTAACAAGTCTCTCACTCGATTCATTGCTTCTATTTCTTTGTAGTCAAAGAAACCGAAAACTATTTGCAAAACGGATGCTCAACTCACAGTCCTTTGAGAAGATTTTGAATTCTCAACACCTACAGTCAATTTCCAAGGATTAAAAAAAAAAAAAAACAAACAAACAAACAAAAAACAAAATCAAAAAGCTTTACAACAGTATACTTGAATTTTATCATCTACAAGCCCATTTATAAGTACTTTGGCTTTCATTTTATTGCAGCATAAATAGCTTTACAACACCAATACTTCATAAAATTGTTTTCCTCTTTTGTATAACTAGAGAAAGGGAAAAATTACATGTGTGCTAGTACATTATACACATATTTAGCATGTCACACTCACTGGAAGACTCCTCAAGATATTGGAAGAAGCCATTGCTTGATTAAGTTTGATTTTCTGATGGCCATTGGTATCGGACTGGAATAAGTTTAAGAGGGAATTTCTTATGGGTTGTAAGTCCAGATTCCTCGTCCATGTCAATATCTGTCTCCTTCATCCCATCAGGCAATTTCCAGTCAAAACAGCACAAGAGGTTTGCTAGTGTGAGCTCCACCATTGCAATTCCCATGTGAATCCCGGGACAGGTTCTTCGACCGGCTCCGAATGGCAAGAACTCAAAATGTTGCCCTTTGAAATCAATGGAGCCATCAGAAAATCTCTCAGGGAAAAACTCTTCGGGGTTATGCCAGTAATTTGGATCTCTTCCTATCGCCCAAACATTCACTTGAAGCAGAGTTTTCGGATAAACATCATAACCAAAAAGCTTAAATTGGGACATGGCTTCTCTTGGTAGTAAAAGTGGAATTGCAGGGTGCAACCTCAAAGTCTCTTTGATCACCATTCTCAGATAGTGAAGTTGATGAATGTCACTTTCACTGACTAATTTTCCTTTTTTGACACAACTTCTAATTTCATCCTGTGCTTTCCTCATCACTCTTGGGTTTCTAACGAGCTCTGCCATTACCCAAATTATGGTAATGGCACCAGTGTCCACTCCAGCTAGGAATATATCCTTAGACACAAGCGTAAAACTATTAAAGATTAAAGAAGAGAATAAAAGAGAGAAAATAATCCAAAATTTAACGTGGTTCGATCGGCAATGTGTCTACATTCACACATTAGGAAAAGACAGAGAATTCATGAGCACCAAAACTATCAAATCTCTTAATATCAGCAGATTTCTTATTTGAAAATTGATAAAAATTAGTTCAAACTACCAATGAAGGTAACAACGTACAAAATATTAACTTTACTTAATGAAAACAACAAGGCTTTATTAGTTCCCCGCATCTATTAAAAGTATAGACCAGTAGAATAAGAAAAAGTAAAGAACCACGCGTTATTTGGTGTGGGGTCTTAAATTTTTGTTAGTCTCAAAATTTATTATTCTTACTCTTATTTATGTTAAAAAGAAAAAGAAAAAAGGTTATAAACAAACGACTAACAAAAAAAATTGGGATGGCTTACCATGATGATGGCCTTGGTACAATCTCTAGTGAATTGAACTTCACTAAATTCGGCTTGATCTCTCTCTATTCTTAGCATCAAGTCAACAATATCTTCCTGATCATCTTGTGTAGTCCTGTTGAGATGTTCTTCGATAACACGTTCATAAAAATTATCCAACTCATGGAAGACGCTTTCAAGTTTTGAATGAAGACCGGTGAGCCTGTCAACAATCCAACCCACGTAAGGAAAGAAATCGGAGGCCGCGAAGCTTCCAAGCGCGCTTTGCACCCTATGAATTGTCTCCTCAAACTTATCATTGTCTAGTCCACTCTTACCAAAGGTCTTCCCAAAGGCAATCCTTAATGTAATGCTTGCGGCGAGAGCAAACATCATTTCACTAAGATTAGCAGGAGTTTGTAACAAATTATTAGACGACCGAGAGAGAGAATCGATGAGAGAACTAATCTCTTCCTCTCTAACGAACCGAAAAGACTTGACTTTTTTTATGTTAAAGAGCTTGAGAACGCAGATTTTTCGCATCTCCCTCCAGCGTTCACCATAAGGTGAGAAAGATATATCAAGATTATTGTAGGAAAGTGTTCCGGATCCAACTAAGTGAGGTCTGCTACAACATTCCAGGTCACGGATTTTTAGGACCTCCTTTGCAGCCTCGGCCGAGGAGACTATAATCATCGGTACACCTCCGAATCGGAGGTGCATAACTGAGCCGTATCTTCTTGAAAGCTGGCATAAGGAACGGTGAGGCAGTGAACCAATTTGGTGCAGATTACCTATGATAGGAAGCCTTGGAGGGCCTGGAGGAAGTCGCGGTTCGTTTTCGGATCTCTTTAATTTTATGATAAATATCTTCTGTTTCATGAGAAAAATGAGAAGAGTAATCGGAAGCAGGAGAAGAAGAATCAGCAACATGTTTGTAAAGCAATTCGTTTGAGATATGACTGTTTTTCTTTCAAGATAAGAGAAAAAATGTTAAAAGAGGAATGCAATATAATTTTTATTGGACTAGTTTGAGGCACGTGCCAACCGTGTTTGCACAATACATAGCGTTTGCTAACAGGGAAAAGAAGCCAAAAAAAAAAAGGTGATGTTTTATTCTTAGAGACCTCTGATAGGCCAGTCTACTAGTAGGATCAATTACTAATCGTTGAATTTGGTTAAAATTACATTAGAAGAATTTGTATTCAAGATCTCTTGTGATCAAACTATCCTAAAGAAAACCATTATGCTATTAGAAGGTGGTTCAGTAATTATATTTATATTCAAACAATCATGAAAGAAAGGGACATTTACCGTTTTTTTGTTCCGTGTATTCAGGTTGGTTGAGTGTCAAATACATGGTCCTATATCTTAAGCATTATCATTTTGTTTGGTTTTTTTAACAATTATGAAAGGAAGGAACATTTATGGTTTCTTTTTTCGGTGTATTCAGGTGGTTGAATGTCAACTACATGGTCCTAGATCTTTAACATTATCATTTCGTTTTGCTTTTTTTAACAATTATGAAAGAAAAGGACATTTACCGTTTCTTTATTCGGTGTATTCAGGTGGTTGACAGTATATCTTTAGTATTATCATTTTGTTTTTGTTTTTTTTTTTTTTGGCTGAGTTGGCATTATTGTTTTGTTAAAAGTGAAGAGAGACTTTTTCCATTAACCTCATGAAAAATATCACGACTCTGTAAGTCTGAGAGTTGATTAATCAAAATTTCATTTCCTTATCCTTTCTCTGTTTTCTCCCCATTAGATAAGCCCTAGTTACTTCTTGAGTTGTGGTCTAGATTAAGGTCTCATGCACTTACGGACTTTTTTGGTGAGTTATAATAAAAGCATAAAACTGTACTCTATGTTTTCCTTTGTCACAATTTATTTATGACAGACAAACTTTCATCAAAATGGAAGCAAAGTTCTGGTTAGATAGTGATTGTTTACAACTTGGCATAAGCAAAGTTCTGGTGGTTGATTGGAAAAATATCTTGGATTTTATATATTTCCATGCGGTCGGTGGTCCATTATCAATTTTGGCCGTGCATAATATATATATATATATATGTATGTATATATAACATGTTGAGTTACAATTCTCTAAAAATACGTCTCTAGCTTCATCAAGAAAAATCAAACTTTTACTGCATTTTTGAAACGTGCCGGTAATTTTTATTTTCTTAATAACGAAAAGAAAAGGAGATTCCTGCTTGCATTGCTTTCTTTAATTTCACCCCGATTTTTTTTGGGAAGAAATTTCACCTTTTTTTTTTTTTGAGTAATTGTTACTTTGCATCTCTGGTACCAAGAGTATCCTTTGAATTTGTGGTAAATACCACCCCTGCAACTTGATTTTTGACAGGGAAACATAGAATAGATTTTTTTTTTTTTTTTTTTTTGAATAACATAGAATAGAATAGAAGAAGGGAAAAAAATACTTTTAAACGTTTGAAAGGAGAAAAAACATCCCGGAATAAATTTGATGCATATAGGGAAAATTCAAGGGATGTTTTTAGTATTGTTCCTTCTTCATGATCCGAAAGATTAAAATATTGATATCCATGAAAATATTCAGACTTTCAATTAAGATTTTTGGATGAGTATATTGAAAATATGGAGGAATATAGTTATTATTAATATGAAAATATTTATTTATTAATATTTTTATTCCCTTAAAAATATATATCGGTGTTGTCATTTCACAAATATGGGGATTGAAAACATCAACCCCGTGTTGTCTACGTTCTAGCTGTATTTAGAAATCAATGTGCATTATCTTTATTGAGTTACAAGAAGTGTATAAAACAATATATTAATATTTTCAACAAAAACAAAAAGACAAAAAGTCTTTATATATATGCACCATGGTACACAATATTTTTCTCAAGTATATATATATATATATATATATATATAAATATGATTAGCAAAAAACTATATATTAATATATATAGAATGATATTCCATTAAGTCGTCCATCATTTTCACCGCCATACTGATTGAAGCATATAAAAAGAGACACAACCCATGGTTATTCTATTATCGTTATCACTATTCGTTATCTTTATTTTTTGATAAATATAATTGACACATATACCACAATCACCTTAAACCGCTACTTTTAATTTCAAGTTTGTCAAAATCTTAAAAATTATTGAGATACTACATAGGACGCAGATGCAAACTGCGATATATAGGCAAAGCATAAACTCGACGGAAAAAGATTTTTTTTTTCTCTTTTCTTTGACTCTAGGAAAGATCTAAGACAATTTGGAAATTATTTTTATTTTTAGAGGATAAAATAACCAAAAAAGTAATAAAAAAAATGAAATGACTAGTATTTTCTTGCTAGCTATATTTGATTAGTGTGAAATGCATTCTCTAAAATAGTTAATTATTTAATTATTGGTTGGAGAGTAGGAAAGTAAAAAAAAAAAAAAAAAGTTAAATCATTAGCTTTTTAACTAAAAATATGAAATGATAAGTATGTATAGAGATAAATATAATTATTTGACTATTGGTTGGAGAGAAAAAAAGTAAAAAAAAATAAAAAAATAAATAAATCATTAACTCTTTTGATTAAAAATATGAAATGACAAGTATGTATAGAGATGCTCTTAGATTTAGGCTGCTCTCGCTTTCATGCTTCAAGATTATTGGTGCGTAGTAAAAGCAAGTTATTAGAATTGTATATTAATTTGTAATTCGTATTATCGCCTTTTGGGCTAGTTTTTTACTTTAGGTGAATTGTTATATTATAAAACTAACACGTTGGTTGTATTTTTTTTTTTCATATTATTTAAGCACATTCTTTCTGGACTCATTTTGTATGTGTACTAGTAATTTTCAAAAAAAAAAAAAAACAAAAATTGTATGTGTACTAGGGGTTCAGAGTTCATCTCTTTTCTCGACATTATGCCGTTTTCATGTTGATGTTGTTTTCTGAGATTGTCGTTTTTAATGATTGTTCTCACTTTACGTGTCAATGTAGTTTTCCATATTATCTCGTTTTCTTTTTCTCGTCCCATTCTAAAATTATTATGTCTTTCATTTTTTTTTCCTGCCGTTCTTTGAAAAAATTGTTGCTATTCCTTTCATAAGTAGTTGTTTACTGAAATCACTATAGTTCTCATTACTTGTGTGTCTTACTTTTGTAGGTTGTTTTCTAAATTAGTGCCGTTTTCTTAACTGGCATCATTAGTTAATTTTTGCGGTTTTTCACATGTTGTCGTTTTCTTAGCACACGTTGTTGATTAATTTGTGCTGTCCTTCTTCATCGTTTGTGTGTTGTTTATTTCTAGTGCATTTTTAAGAAGTAATTATCTTTCGTGTGGTCAATATGGGATTCCAAAGTTTCGACTTTCAGAGAAACCAATAACAAAACGATAACAAACAAGCTTGTGTGAAGTTGCGTATAGCCAAGTAGACTCGAAACTCGAGTCACGTGAGAAGCGTTTAAGACTGTTTTTAGGCTACTAACTCCATGGTATAGTGAACACGTTTCCTTTCCTAATGCAAGTAACCAAAAGGCCGCTACTTGCATTAGGAAATGAACCGTAATTTGAACCATGACACGAATCCTCATACCAAACACTCTAGGCCCTTTTAATCAAGTCTCTCACTTGATTCATTACTTCTATTTCTTTGTCGTCAAAGAAACCGAAAACCATTTACAAAACAAATGCTCAACTGACAGCCCTTTGAAAGGATTTTGAATTCTCAACACCTGCAGTCAATTTCCAAGGATTAAAAAAAACAAACAAAAAAACAAAATCCAAAAGCTTTACAACAGTATACTTGGATTTTATCATCTACAAGCCCATTTATAAGTACTTTGGCTTTCATTTTATTGCAGCATAAATAGCTTTACAGAACCAATACTTCATAAATTTTTTTTCCTCTTTTGTATAACTAGAGAAAGGGAAAAATTACATGTGTGCTAGTACATTATACACATATTTAGCATGTCACACTCACTGGAAGACTCCTCAAGATATTGGAAGAAGCCATTGCTTGATTAAGTTTGATTTTCTGATGGCCATTGGTATCGGACTGGAATAAGTTTAAGAGGGAATTTCTTATGGGTTGTAAGTCCAGATTCCTCGTCCATGTCAATATCTGTCTCCTTCATCCCATCAGGCAATTTCCAGTCAAAACAGCACAAGAGGTTTGCTAGTGTGAGCTCCACCATTGCAATTCCCATGTGAATCCCGGGACAGGTTCTTCGACCGGCTCCGAATGGCAAGAACTCGAAATGTTGCCCTTTGAAATCAATGGAGCCATCAGCAAATCTCTCAGGGAAAAACTCTTCGGGGTTATGCCAATAATTTGGATCTCTTCCTATCGCCCAAACATTCACTTGAAGCAGAGTTTTCGGATAAACATCATAACCAAAAAGCTTAAATTGGGACATGGTTTCTCTTGGTAGTAAAAGTGGAACTGCAGGGTGTGACGACCCTCCTTTGAGGCCGCCACTGTTACTAACTTTTTAACTTGTACTTACTGGGGTTTCTTAAAATATGCGGAACATTTTTTTTTTTTATATAAGAAGGAATACTTTCATAATTTGTAACAATAATTTCAAATAAGTGAATCACTAAATTTCTTAAAGCTTTTCTTAATTTTAGTTAAGATAAAACCTTTTAGGAATATCCTTCAAATGGAATAGCATTTGAACTCTTGTTTTAAATACTCTTTAAAAGCTTTTCTAAAACTAGTCATTTCAATCGGCCATCTCATTTGACTTTAAAACGGATTTCGTGAGAAATCTTAAATTCAAGTACATCTTAAAGTCCTTCTAAAATTACTCATTTAAATCGTCATGTTTAAAATTCATTTATTTGTTGCATATTTGTTGCATGTACTGTAACGTTCTAAAACTTAAATACTCAAAACTAGGGTTGTTAGTTACAACCTTGGTTTTCTTAACATACATATGTACGTATACTTTTTAAACATAC